TCCAACATCTTCAAGTTGCCGACATGCTAACTGGGGAATTCTGGGAACTGAAGTCCACACCTCTTCAACAATTCCCAAGGTTGAGAAACACCGCCAGAAACTTTGAAGCATACCTGATCTTTGAAATCAGCTCATGCAGATGTGAGGCTGGGTGGAAAAAAAAGAGGAACAAAGGGGCAGCCGAGAGGCCTATTAAGCATTTCAGAGTGGAGGAGGGAGAAAAGGGCCGAGGGACGGTGGGGGGGGGGGGGGTTGCACAGCATGTCAGGCACGGGGTTTGCGAGCAGTCCTGTCCCCTGTCATTATGAGCAATGGCTGTGCATTAAGGTATTAGAACATGACAGCTATAATTCTAACCAATTCCTGCTGGCTGGCCCGGCCTCGCACGATTTATAGCAGCACTTTGCAGAGCAGAAAATTAACAAGCCATGCGCTGTTCTGAGAACAAGGCAGGAAAGCGTGTGCTCTCCCCCATGCCCCCCACCCAGGCATGTATACACACACACACACACACACACACACGGAGGGAGGGAGGGAGAGAGAGAAAGAGAGAGAGAGGCACATTTTATCCAAAGTCTGATTTGTAGAACGGCTTGCACAAAGCCAGCCTCTTTTATCCAAATCCTGCTTTTTTGCAAAAACTCCCCTGGATTGGAGATGTGGGAAACCCTGTCTTTTTAAGGCCCCCTCCCTCCCATGGGGTACTGCCCCCAAGGAAAGGCCAGGCGTGCATCTTTCTGGTTGTCTGGGACATGCAAATGTGTTGGAAATGTGTGCGCGCGCGCGCGCGTGTGCGTGCGTGCATGCGTGTGGAATAGAACAGAGCTGGAAGGGTCCTTGGAGATCTTCTAGTCCAACCCCCCGCTCAAGCAGGAGATCTTCTCATCCAAGAAGCTTCTTCAGCTCTGACTGGATGGGTGTGGAACGGAAGGATTTATACTCTGCAGAAAAGCTGGTCGTTTGCATCCTTTTAGAAAGTCATTGAGGCCACTTGGAGGTTTATTTATGTCTTCAGGGTCACCCAAGCGGTGCAAATGGGTGTGGAGCCTTCTTGGAACCGTCGAAAGTGCAGGTGGTATTCAGCAGGTTCTGACCATTTCTGGAGAACTTGCTAGCGGAAATTTTGAGCCGTTCAGAGAACCGGCCAATACCACCCCTGACTGGAGATTTTGTAGTATCCTTCCTCTGCCACGCCCACCAGAACTGGTAGTCAAAAAAAAATTGAATCTGACAAGTGTTGTAGCCCAGAGACAATCAGATATATAGGCAATGTACAGATCTGCACAGGGCTCACTGCATTGTAAGCAACATAGTATAAGTCGTACAATGCCGTGAGCCCTGGGGGGAACTAAACAGCCACTTCACAAACCGCCTGGCCCAACCTAGGAGAACAAACCCCTCAGGACTAGATTCAACAGTCCATCTCCATTTAGGAGACAAAGGCCGCTCTTTGGAAGACGGCCAAGTCCGCATTTTGGACCGAGAGGTTTGAAAGAGGGGTCCAAGAGGCCATCTATGTCAAAATCGAACAGCCCTCTCAGCAGAGTGGGAGGGATACAACATCATTTATCTCCAGTCTGCAATACTTTTAGCAGTTCCAAGACGGCTCTACTCCCATTTGCACCACTCAGGTAACCTTGGGGACACAGATCAACCTCCAAGTGGTCTCAATGACCTTCTGAAAGGATGCAAATGACCAGCTGTCTGCAAGGAATATAAATCCTTCCATTCCTCACTATCCAAGTCAGAACTGAAGAAGCTTCTTGGATGAGAAGCGAAACAACTTCAAAACAAAAATGAAGAAAGTCCGGTTGCCTCCTGGAAAAAGACAACCATGGCCTGGGTGTCTGAGAATTTCCATAGACATGTTGCCAACCACAACTGTGTGTTCTGGCTCACTGCACAACACTTCGCTGTTCCAGCTACTAAATTTATATATCTTAACGCAACAGTTTGAGTTGTGTTAAGGTATTTGTTAAAGGGTTTCTTGCACATCAGTGGATGTATACAGGTAGTCCTTGACTAGTCTTGGTCAAGATTAATGGTCAGGGGAAATTGCGCAGCAATTGTCCAAACGAAGTCAGAGATACTGACCCAAACTTGTAGTTTTGTACAAATAAATACATTTAGCAACTATATTTACACCAGACAAGATAGGAAACCATCATGAGGTAAATCACAAACACAGAAGAAAAAAGGCGGGAAAAAAGGGAAACTCCCCTTCCACACCCACAGCAACCAATCACAGCACAGATTGCCTCACGCGGGAGCCAGCCCTCTCCAATCAATCAATCAATCACAACTGTCTGTTCTGGTTCACTTGCATAATTTTTCACTATTCCAGCTACTAAATTTAAATAAAATTTAAATATCTTAACAGATTTCGACTCCCAGAACACCCCAGCCAGCATGCGGCATTCTTGGAGTTGAAGCCCATAGGTCTTAAAATGGGAGCGTTTGGGAAATGCTGATCTGAGACCAGAAAACTCCCTCGCCAAACTTTTGAATTTCAGAGTCAATTCCAACACTGGAAAATTCCTGAACTCGGCTGGTAGAAGGCAGGCGGATTAGAACGGGATTATTCATTTGTGCGAGTCAATTGAAGGATGCAGCGTGGGGCATTTTATACCCAGAGATCCTGATTTGATGGAACTCAGGCTAAGCAATTGGATTTCCAAATGAAACAAGAGTGGCTGCTTTAAGACCGAAATGGAGGCAACAGAGGTGGATAAGAGGAAAATGAGCAGCATGGGGCAGGGATCCATTTCAGGCAGCGGAATGGGGGGTTCTATCTTTTGATCTGGAAAAAGGAAGGAAGGAAGGAAGGAAGGCAGGCAGGAAGGAAGGAAGGAAGGAAGGAAGGGGGAAAGAAAGAAAGAAAGAAAGAAAGAAAGAAAGAAAGAAAGAAAGAA